CCAGCTGCACAGCTGGAGCGCAGCGGGTCAAAAAAATCAGATTTCTCCTGGTCCGTCAGCGCAGCTCACTTCAGCTGCGCTGCAAGGCCTCTGAAGCGAAGCGGTTGACGCTGCGCAGCAGCCACGCAGCGGCTACCTTCAGCGCAACTGGTCCAACATTGGCAGAAACCGCCTTTTTACTTTGAGTACTGTTGATAGCTGTAACTTTGCACCGAAATTTTTTACTACCTTTGCTAAAAAGCTTGCCCGGTTCGACCGCAAACAAGAGACAAGAGAGCTCGAATTTGGCCGCAGCCTGCTGCGAGGCCGCTGCGCAGCTTGACAAGAACCCAAGTTTGGCCGATCACCAATTCTGAAAGAGATTGACTTCACCTGTGGATCTCTGACATTGAGATATGTTGAAATCAATCATAAAGCGCAAATATCTCCCTCATCATGATGGAATCATGCTCACAGGTCTATGCGATTTCTATCGCGCTGCGAATGTTATCGAGATTTGTTTTAATTCCATTTTAAGAAAGCGATTCTCGTCAAACGGCTTAACAATGCGTGACTAGCCAATGTGGGTGCTTCTGCCATCTTGGGTTCAAGGCCGAGCAGCCTAAGTTTTTTTGCTAAAATTCCGAAATGAAATCAAGGCTTACATCTTGGACATTTGTCAATCCAATCATCATCCTATGGTGAGCTCTTGACTGAGCAAGAAGAACAAAAGTTTTTTAAAAAAACATGTCGTCCTTTTTGGACTTGTACTTGTTTGTCTCATAGAGCCGAAACAAAAAAGCACAAAAGTTTATCAAGGCTTGAACACACTACTAATGAGGGGTCAAGAGTGTGAAGACAACCATCTAGGCAGACCATTATACCAGGGAGACTATGAAACATCACAGCACTTTTGGTCCTCGATATCATCGAATGAGAGCTGAATTTGACTGTATGGTTGATCTGGACATACCAAGCTCCAGATATGCTGTGAATATAGTCACAATGTGTCTCAAAATGGTTCAAAGTCGGAGATCCATGGGTGAAGTCGATCTCTTTCAGGATTTGTGATCGGCCAAATTTGGGATCTTGACGAGCTGCGCAGCGGCCAAATTTGACCTCTCATGTCTCTTCTTCGCGATCAAACCGGGCAAGCTTTTTAGCAAAGGTAGTACTACCTTTGCTAAAAAGGTTGACCGGGTCGACCGCGAAGGAGAAGAGAAGAGATGCCAAATTTGGCCGCAGCCTGCTGCGCAGCGCATCCAAATTCAAATTTCGCTCGATCCAAAAAATGATCGAGTTGTCAAAACACTCATTGTGACCGTCTTACGGCAACTAATGAGATTAGTTACAATCAGTATTTAGCTGAATACATTGAGATCGTTCAAACAGCCGACCTGCGACTCATCTTTGATGATTGTAAACTCATCGTTGGACTCCCTATCTAAGCTTTCTTGGTGCAACGGTAAGGTGTGAGAACCTTGTCATCGCGGTGCACAGCTCGGCGCGTGTTCGAGCCGCCTTGATATTTTTGAACTTGTGTGGGTTGACCTCATGATACAAAGAAAGCAGAAGTCTTTAAAAACTTTTTTTTGCCTTACCCACCAAAAGCTCAAAGAGGGTCATTATGGAACAATGATGGCACTGACACATCTCTGAGATGTACTTCTCAATTTTGTTCCAAATTTCAGCAAAAATGCTACACCCTGGGGATTGAACCCACAAGCAACTACAACCATTGTTGATATTGAGCAATGCGCCACCTACTACTGTATACTGCTAGTCCACAGCGCTTTTCATTTCCTTGAATCAGCAAGATATAGATGAAATCGGAACAAGTCGCATAAGCCAGCTGTTGGCGCGACTTTGTCATAATCTAAATCAACTGAATATCGGTCGTGACCAATCTTGGTATCTATCATAACCACCAGGTCACGTTGAGTGTTCTGACAACCCGATTGTTTTTTGGATCGAGCGAAATTTGAATTTGGATGCGCTGCGCAGCAGGCGCTGCGGCCAAATTTGGCATCTCTTCTCTTCTCCTTCGCGGTCGACCCGGTCAACCTTTTTAGCAAAGGTAGTAACACAAAATGATTTGGTGCAAACAACTTTATGTAAACTTCCACAACCCCATATAACACTATCCATTGAAAACCTAGTAATTTAATGCAGTATGTTGGGTAATAGTGGCTGTGTTGCTGTGATTGAGTCCCCCAAGAGTTAGACTCTTGTGGAGAAGCTTGAAGACCAAACTGGGTTATCAATCAAGCAAAGATCAGATGCATTCTATGAACAAGATTCAGGATGACACTTTGCTCGATTTCAAATATTCTAATTGCACGATGCTGGATGGGTGGATTTTGTTCAAAGTGGCTGAAAATCCAATTGGTACCAAGCCAAGAATTACCAATAAGTTGTATATAAGTCCCATCCCTGCAGGCTGCAGACAACGAGGAGATTATTTGGGGCGGTGTTGTAGGTGTTTACTATGGATTGAAAGCAAACATTCTGACTTTGCAGACGCGTGATGACTGCAAAGGTGCACAGATCTTAACAGAAGCCAAATGAGTGGACCAGCAGCATAACCGAGGTGTATCAGTTTGACGAAATTGTCAGAGATGGATTTGAAGGGTTTGCTTGGACCCGGCCATTGTGGCGGGAACTTGGAAGGCGATCCTGAGCGTTCAAAGTCCAATTTTCTGGAGATAAAGGAAGCTGCAATGTGAATGGATTCGAAATCAAATCGTTCAGATTCACATCGAACAAAATGCTGCAGGATGTAGACTCTGGAGGCTGAGCTGCCGTGTTCTTCTAACCACACTTTTATGATTCCAATCAGTTTCAATCATAACGAATTCGCTGCTCCGAGGCTTCATGTCGTGAGATATTGAAGCCGAGAAGACACAGAGTGAAGGATGAAAATGTAATAGAATTGTCGTCAAAGGGATCTCTTTAATAAGTTGGCACTTTTCATGACCAGGATGATAGTCTGACCTCATGCGCAGAGACCATAAGATAATGAAATTTTCCGACCGATTAAGAATTGGACTCTCATGGAAATAATTTACAAACAACAACAGCTCCTTAAAAATGAGTGATCACTTGCTTGAAGTTATCTTACGGTGATCATAACACAGCATAACACTCTTTCATAAAATTTAGTGTAAATTCTAGTTTCTCTGATACAAAAACCATTGACGTTCAAGTTGTTTTCTGATCCTCCTTTAAAACATCACGAACCCAGGATCCTTCGTGTTGGATATCTTGTTGAGCCCTTTTCCATAAGATTCAAGACTCACTCACTCAGTCTTCACTCTCTTATAACTATCTGTACAAGGCTGTTTTGACAGAACTGCACATGTTGTGTTGTACTGGACTCTAAACTTGATGGTTGTGTACAGCAGTATTAGATTTTTTGAGCACCCAATTAAATTGCACTTTTTACTTTCTCTCTCTCGCTTGTTTTGATTTCCTTCGAATCTCTTCTCTCCACAATTTTAAAGACATCCACCAGTTTTGATAAGTTTTTTTTAATTTTCCAACTTCCAAGACCTCAAAATCAACAAACTGTCATCACAATTTGATTTTGAACCAATTCTCCCTTGATCAGGCTGATTTCAAGATTCTTTAACGAGATAGACAATTTCAAACTTCTTTTATTTGATTCTCTTTTCAATCATCATCAATTCACACACTTCAACTTCCCTTACCATCAACAACGACAACAACAATATGATTAATCATCACACTTCTCAACCTACTCCGCCTCATTCTCGTCCTTCATCCGAATCTGATTCTTTACCTACGAATTCAACTTCAACTTTACCTCGGCTGAACTCTAAACCTTCTTTGCCTCTTCAATCTTCTTCTCAATCAAATCCATCTGAACTTGTTTCAGTTCCGATTCATATCAAAGAAGGTCTTTTTATATTTCACTCACTCTCTTCTACCAACTCATCACAGCTAAACCTTGCCTTGACCTTCAACCTTCTCTAGGCTCGTTTAAGAAACTGCTGACCAAGCTTCGCCGATCGGCTTCTCGGAGCGAGTACTTCAATACGGTCTCACGTTCCGATGAAAGACCACCGAATCCACCTCCACCTCCCATAGTTGCTCCACTTTCGCCAGCCTCAAGTTCACCTGATACTCCTCGCACCATGGATGAAGCTCCTTGTCCTCATCTCTCTCTTACACCACTACCCAACGCACTCGTTATCACTGATGAAAACATCCCTACCACCCTCGAAATCCTCACTTCTCCCGTTACCAGCTCTTCTCATCCGCGCACTGCTAAGACGGTCTCGATCAGCTCTAAATCTGGTGAGACATCAGTCTGCCCCAGCATCAGTAGCAACAAAACCTCCTTTGAAGGTCGCAAATCTAAGAAATCAAGCCATTCTCAACCCAAGAAGTCTCACACACTTGGCTTCAAACAAAGTCACCAACATCTTAATTCCAACTACGATCAACAGAATGCCTCTAAATCGATCATCATTTCCAATCAAGATCCTCATGAGTCTTCCTTCTCACCTTCACCGGATCCTGCCTCTTCGCTTGAGCCGATACTGCCACCCCCCCCAGGTAGCGCTGCAGGGCGCTGGCTACGTAGGGTTAGTTCCGCCCCCAATACGAAAGGATGGCTGTTGAGTAGTGGTGGCGTCCTCGCTGCCCTGGCTTCACCTCATAGACCCGGTCCCGACCATCCAACTCTACATACTATCCCATCAAGTCCTCATCAACCAGGCGAGGATGGTGTTCCTCCACTTCCGCCCATGCCCCTATTGCCACCCAACGTCACAGGTTTTGGGCAGCACGCCGATGGTACCTATTTCCCTCCTTCGCCTTCACCTTCATCGCTTTCCAACTCAAGTACAAAAGCTTCTAGAAAGTCTTCAAAGAGTATCTCTCACTACGGTATTCCTAAAAGCCCTACTCGTTCTAGATCTGGACATCACATGTTCAGTCCTGCCGGTCCTGGCAAAGGTTCCCTTTTATCAGTGCCCTCTAGCCCAGTGGACTTGATGAACCGTGGCGGGTTTCGAAGAACTTATAGTAGTAATTCTATCAAAGTTTCGAAAGCCGAAGTAGGACCGAGTAGTTTTGAAAAGATCAAACTTTTAGGGAAAGGTGACGTTGGTAGAGTGTATCTTGTTCGCGAAAAACGTAGGAGTTTAGAATCTGTAGGAAGTGATGAGCTTTCTAATCAACCGAGACTTTACGCGATGAAGGTTTTGAATAAGAAGGAAATGATTCAACGCAATAAGATTAAACGTGCTTTAGCTGAACAGGTCGGCTGGGATTCCCTCTTCAATCTTCCACCTACCATCTGCTCACATCCTTTCTTCTTCCGTCGTGCTGTGCGATGTAGGGTATATTATCCACTAGCAATCACCCGTTCATAGTGACACTGTATCATTCATTTCAGTCTGAGGATTACCTCTATTTTTGCATGGAATACTGCATGGGTGGTGAATTTGTGAGTACGATCCCTTTACATCATATCGTACCTGAATCAGCTCACTCATTTCTCTGTAACTTCCTGTTATCAGTTCCGGGCCCTTCAAGCTCGCCCTGATAAACGTCTTGCTGAAGAAGATGCGCGATTCTATGCTGCGGAGGTCATCTCTGCTCTAGAATATTTACATCTTCATGGGTATATTTACCGAGATTTGAAGCCTGAAAGTATGTCTGCCTCATTGCAATTGCTATGTCTTTTCCAATGACTTACCATTGTCTTGCCTCCCTCACTCACCAACTATCAGACATCCTGTTACATCAATCTGGTCATATCATGCTTTGTAAGCATGCTCGTCCTAGATGTCCTTTACATGTCGATTAGTTGAATTAACTTGTGATTCCCCTTGTTTCGAATAGCGGACTTTGACCTCTCAAAACAATCTGAAGTGGGCGGCGCACCGGCTAGTGTCAAGACTATCACGCCAAATGGTGTACCACTTATTGACACCAAATCATGTATTGCCGACTTTCGTACAAATTCATTTGTAGGTACTGAGGAGTATATCGCACCCGAGGTCATCAAGGGCAATGGTCATTCATCTGCGGTTGATTGGTGGACGGTAGGAATCTTGATTTACGAAATGCTTTACGGTTTCACGCCCTTCAAAGGACCTGATCGACCTAGTACATTCGCCAATGTATTGAAGCGAGAAGTCACGTTTCCGGATCATCCAGTCGTATCAGCCGTTGGTAAGAGCCATGTAAGAAAGCTTTTGGTCAAAGATGAACACCGTAGATTGGGTAGTCAGAGCGGTGCAAGTGAGGTGAAACAGCATAAGTGGTTCGCTCCAATTAGCTGGGGACTCCTGAGAAACTGTACACCACCCATCATACCTTCTATCAACACACTGGATCTCACGGCAGTGTAAGTTGTTCATCTTCGAACATTCGAAAATCTATCAGCTTGGAGCACAACATGGCTGAATTCACCCTCCTTTAATCACATGTAGTGTCAAAAGCTCAAGAAGAGATTCCAAATCACTTGACCTCGAGAGTCAAATCATGGCTCCAATTCTAACTTCCTCCACCTCATCACTGAATCCACATAACCTAACACCTTCAAATCACAAGCTCGATGACTCTGATGTTAGCGAGATCATCAAACCGGATACCAATGACCCATTTGGAGAATTTTCATCACTCTCTCTTCATCACAATGGATCGTTTGGTTAAAAGCATCTCTTCTCATTCACAACTATTACTCTTACTTTTTTGTCAGTTTTGATTGGAATTGTCTATATTCGGGTTCATACATCCATTCTGTGACAGGTTGACGGATTCAGTGGGTAAGTTGAGGGGGGGAAGAAGTGCATCTGGGATATCTGGGATCCCCTTTTGTCGCCTGTCATTCATTATCATCAATTTTTCGTTGACTCATCCATCTTAAATTTTAATCGTATCTCATACCTCATAATATGTGTCTCTCTTTCTTTTCTTTGGCCTCGTTTGCTTTTTCTTTAGCTCATTGGAATATACGGCTTGCCTATCATCTCACTATTATCTTTTATCTATATCTTCGTTTGTGTATGTGTTGTTCTTTGTGGTTTTCTCTTTGCCTACTCTAGACCCATTTGTTTTTGTTTTGTTAATGGTTTTTATTTGTGAACGTAGTTTATCTTATACTTTGTGACGCTGTTTTTTCATATATATTTACTATCGTTTAGTCTGGATATGACATCTTATTTTACTTTATAATACATACCCAATTGATGGATTTTCAATTTCCAGTGGATCGAATTTTTGTTTGTTTCAGTTTTTGCTATCAGTATAACAATGATATGTAGATGAAAGTTCAATTTTTTGGCAAATGAAGTAACGTGTTGTTGAGAATTTTGGAGAATGATCACTTCTTGTTTATCCCATCTGAGACCTTTGTGGAGAATTGGATTTTAGATCTGAGAGGAATGGATCTTCAGGCGAAGTCGACTAAGTCGATCCTACTTACGGAACCTTCATACGTCATGATCATGGCTGCCTGCATTCAATCGGCAGGAAACCTGTAATCTGTAGACCGGTTGAATCGCGTTTCTGAAGTTTGGGTTGACTGCAGAGAGGTTTTTGAAGTGTCATTTAGAACCCTCTGCTCGTCATGGCAAGGACGGTAATGTAATTCACTCCGCTTCTAGCATGTTGCGGTTTGTGAAGTCCTATCGCGTCACAAGCCAACTCGGTATCTCCTCTACGTGAAGAGAAGGACGATCCTTGTGCCTTGTTCGAAAACAAATCATCAATGTCCGTGAAGGACACACGGATTACAGAATCGAAAGGAATTTTCCTTTTTTCTCTTCCGTCACAATGTGAGGGGAGACGATGAGTGTGTCGAGCATACAGGTCCAGATTGGAAATATTTGATCTTCCATCAGCTTCAATCACCTTAGCTGGACGTCATAGGTTCAAGGTTGATCAGAGGTTTTCGAAAGTTGGCTTGGCCCCAGAAATGTTGAGCTCTTTTTGGAAAAGTGAGACTGAGAGTCACTGTAAGATCTACTATGTTGCATCATAATCTGAATTCAGGATTGCTCACCGTGCAGGTCGTTTAGGAAATCGTCATGCGGACTGAGCTCGGTGGGATAGATTCAGCCTATCGGGAATCGGCGGCTAGATGAGTTAGGCTCGTGTGCTCATGCAATGGGTCAGGGACATAGACAGACGAGTTTGACGAAAAAGAATGGCCAGAAAAACTTCAAGATCTACCTCAACGACCCGCTACTGATGGAAGGCCAAACCTCAGAACCTGCGAAGTGGCAACACTCGAGGGTGCTTTTAAGCCGTCTTGATCCTCGCCATATCCCCTACTGAATCAAAGCTCACTCACCAATTATTCCAATAATCATTTGATCTCCAAATAACCATCAGATCACCAACTTCCTATTCCTATCATCAATTATCTCCCGCTACTTCTTGCAAAACTCGACGTGAAATGGGAGGACCATTGGGAACCTTGATAGTCGTTGTCCTTAAAGCTGTGCGCCCTTCTCTTGCACTATGTTCGGAAACACTCATTCTGATTTTTCTCGTATATCACAGCGTAATCTACCTAACAAGCAACGAATAGGGTACGTCGATTAACTTAACTCTTCAAGGCCTGCGCTGTACTCACACCTCAATGCTAACTTTACTTACTGCGTCTACCAGCAAACAAGACCCCTTTGCAACTTGCGAATACCTTTCTGATACCAAACGGACTAAGGCCGATAAAAGGGGAGGACAGCATCCATTATGGGATGACGAATTACGTTTTGAAATCTACGAAAACCTAAAAGATGTGAAACCCTCAACAAAAGTCTCATCACCTATCAAATCTTCACATCCTTCAAGTTCCTTGGAACTCAACGTCAAGGAATTGAGGATTGCTGTATATGCTCACGATTCACATCATCCTGAATTGATAGGTGAAGGTACAGTAGATATCACTGATACCTTACGGAAAGGCGAATTCGATGAATGGGTAACAATCACCCACAAAGACAAATATCAAGGGGAGATTTACCTCGAAATGACATTTTACTCAGCAGTGAGTATTGTCATTGATTTTCACTAGTTATCTTCGTTCTGGCATTCTTATCTTACTAACCCAATACATTCGTTTTGAATTCTAATCTCAAGAAACCTCCACCTGTAAAGCAACGAAACGTTGGTGGTCGTAGACCGAAGCAAATCCCTCGGAATGTAGTGGCAAAACCCAAGGTCCACAAAGCTCGATCACAAGTCCGCGACATCACTACAAAAGTTGATATTGGTAACCTTCCACCTTGCTTACGAGCTGGAAAGCTAGCTCAAAACACTGAAGTCTCAACTATCCATACTTTACCTCTTCCTGGAGAGCCAGCTGTCAATACTTCACCTGTTCCTGGAGACCCAGAGTGTGATACGGGTTCTGCGTGTACTATAATGTAATACTCTTTCTCTCTGATCTTAATTTTTTATGACCTGATCTATGATTATTGGTGAAACTGGTCTTGTGAGGGTTTTCTTTTTTGAAACAAGGAACAAACCTGTATATAATTTTTTCTTGTATGTCAAGATGGAAAGGAGAAGCCTAGAAATGACAATTTGAGGATGAGACTTATAGAACATTTCAAAACCCTAAGATAAGAGAAACTGAGATCCTTTGAAGTTTGAGTTTCATGAGGGTAAAAAGAAAAATAGTGTACATGAAAAATTGGAAAATTAAAAAGACATAGTAATTGATTTCAGATTTATGAGCTGTTATCAATCCGGAGATATGCCAAAAAAGAAATCAGCATGGTGCAATAGTGTACTAAGTTTTTAAACTCCTCTCGCACTTAATAGTGACAAGGGTATGTGATTACAAAAATGTTCTTATGGTGTGTTTCATGAGAAACATTGCCTATCAAAAATAAATCCAGGTTGAGCTGTAGGTTTGATTTTTCTGTCTGATATTGAATTGATCTTAGCATTCCATCACACAATTTGTTTCCGTATTGTGGCGAGGACAACTTCATATATAGGTTATGCAAACCATGGGGTTATTGAGTAACTAGCTGAGTCAGTGCTCCCAGTGGATGTATAGTTCTACAACATGTTTATACCATAGTGTGATGTGGAAGACGTGCACAGCTGGTGAGATATGTCCAGCCATCAATGTTATGTTGAACTTTTTAGTTTCCCGAGGCCTCCTTGCTATTCGAGTAGAAGCATTTTTACCACGTCTTCCCAACAGCTATTCAGAATTCTCCAAAAAAAGTGATAAGTTTGCAGTGCCTGGTTTTCTTACCTTGCTTGTTCAATGTTTTTTTGACACTCTCATCTCCTTAACATTCCAATTGAAAGTTACACAGAGACTGCGGCTAAACATAGCCAGGCATCTGCGTCGTGGAATCTTAAAAGCTTAAAGACCAATTCTGGGGTGTTCATGAGGACAAAAAAATATCATTCAGATGTGTTTTTCCGCATCTGGCATCCATGGGCGGGGAACTGAGTTGATAAAGCTTGGCGAAGTTTCCCCACAAGACTCAAGCACATGACTTCCGCGGGCAACGCAATCGAAGGAACTACCTTGGTTTCCACGCCGGGCGCACAACCCTCGTGTTATGCATAGTGTAGTGCCCAACACCTGAGTTGACCGCGCACCCTTGCGCACCCCTAAGCCAATGATCAACCAAATTTTAGGCGGTGCTGAGGTTGAGAGATGTTACTCGAGATGTTCTTTGATATCGATGGCCTGTTTCTCTATCAACAAATGAAGCCCAACCTCAATCCTTCCCCTAACTTCATACTCATCACTTTCTCTGACCGTCACCAGTCTCTAATCACATAGCGCATGAAATTTCGAGGCCAATCATTCCGGTAATCATTTGACGACCATCTTGTCACGATAACCGTCCGACTATCAACTGCTTCATACTGCCAGCATCTATTCGCCCGGCTTCTCGGTAGATCCACACTTCGTACAGGTTTTCTCTAAGGTCACGTGACCCGAAATTTACCTCGTCCACTTCATTATCCTAAACTTTTTACCATCGTCAACAAACCCTCGACCTTCAAATCCTCGCGTTCAATGCCTCCCGGCGCGTCTGACACGGGTCAGATGATAGAGGACGATCCCAGCTCGAATTCGACCTCAGGATGGACGAACCCGACCGCGTCTAGCCAAAATGACGACGCGGTGGCCGCTTTTCTCAAAGGCTCGGATCGTGGTCTACCTCAAATCGAAATCACCTCCGACGCATTAGGAGCAACTCCTAAACGATCAGAAGTCCCCCTTCTTGCCGAGTTTGCAAAGAAGAGGGCGAGAACAAGCACGCCTGGACTCACAGCCCAGGAACACATCCAGTCGATAGCGGGAACCCCTCGATCCGAGAGGATGGCCCGTTTAGTCCCAGGCTGTGAGGAAGACCGTTCCCTCACGGTCATGCTGACCAAACTGGTGACAGTCGCAAACGATGTCATGCAGCTCCCTGCTAAAGGCAGACTCGCTAAACAGGTCCACATTGATGTAGACTCATGTGCGGATATTCTTGTGTTGATCAATGCGGCCTTTGACCAGCATCAATTCGAGAAAACGAAGAGAACCCTCTTCCAGAGACCGGCGCCAGCCCTTGCAGGCTCCAAAAGAGCGGCGGCGCCGTTAATGAACCCCCATATGACAAGCTCTACCCAAGCTTTTGATTTCCAAGCCTCGTCCTCAGTGAATGAGAAGCTTGATGCGCTCGCAGAGCAAGTTTCTCTACTAGTTGCTGAGAAAACCGCCACATCACAGACCAACAAAAAGACGAGTAGCTCCTATGCAGCTATGGCATCCAAGGGTGCAACCGGACAACAACAAAAACAAACAACAACGGCTCCAAAAAGGCCGATACCTAAACAAAAGGCACGAAAACGCCTCACAAACACAGTAACATTGGTCCAAACGGACAAAACACAAGTTGCCTTAGGCTCCTTGTCGGTAACTCAACTCATAAATGGGTTCAACATGGCTTTCAAGGCCAACAACATAAAAGCTACCGACACCTCGGCGTCAACCATCACAGTAAAAACTGTTCAGCGCCACCCATCAAACGACCTAGTTCTACACTTGGAAAGTGCCTCACATGCAGAAAAGATCAGAGAGATGGAAAAAACATGGCTCCCAACAGTTTCAGCAAATCTTAGTATTAAGCCTGAACACTTTACCATTGTAGTACATGCAATTCCTACCTCCTTTGACCCTGATATTCCGAGCCACAGAGAGGAGCTATTAGCCTCTAACCCCGAATTATTACAGGGCGTAAGCTTTATTAGATGGCTCAACCCTAAGCTTAAAGATGACCCAGCAAAGAGATACTCGACGCTCTTGATAGGACTAGATAATCAAGACCAAGCCAACAAGTGTGTTAAAGAAAAAGTGTGGTTTGGTCGTGGTTTACACAAAACAGAAGCTGGACGTGACCCACCAAAAAGGTGTTATAATTGTCGAAAGACAGGTCACACCGCTCCGTCGTGCCCATCCCCAGCTATGTGCCCTTACTGTGGTGATGGACACCACGCACACGCATGCCCCAAAAAAGGTGCAGTCCCTATGAAGTGCACCGCTTGCGTACGAGCCCTGATCAAGATGGACTCAACAAAAACAGCTAAAGGACTATTTGAGTCAAATAACCAAGACCTCGCCCATTCACCCTTTCACCCCCAATGCGCAACAAGGATTGCTGAGAACCTCCCCCCTCACAATCCAAGCGCATCACCAAATCTGATAGTTACCCCAGAAGTCGTTGATTCTACATCTCAATGTTAGAACAACAACTTCGACAAAAACTTACCTTGCCAGATACAGAGTCAATTCTCCAACTGAATTGCCGCCACTCACCAGACATTTCTAACTCACTTTTTAACTCAGAGTTTACTAATTTATTCTCTATCCTCTCATTACAAGAACCGAATGTAAATAAAGTTGACTATTTACCTCAAGAACAGCCCAACTGGACACTTATCAGTTCAACACCCAGCGAGAAGAACATCAGCGCTAGACCTAGAGCCTGCTTGTACATAAGAAAAGATCTCAACGCTCAGATCAACCCCCTCCAAACAACCTCTAGAGACATCGCAGCGTGTACAGTAACATTTGCATCTGGCTTTAAACTGCTTGCTATATGTGTATACAACGACCCAGCATTATTCTCCGGGTTCTCAGCATACGACGAACTGATGAACAGCATCCCACTCGAAACTCAACTCTTACCAACCATAATCAACACTGATAGCAACCTGCACTCGGCATTATGGAACCCTCCCCACATCAACACGTCAGATCGAGACGCCGACAAACTAGTCGACCTGATGTCCAAATGGGACATGCACCTCAGGTCCCCATGTGGCATCCCAACCTTTGGTGTTGGGTCAAAAACAACGCTAGGTACCTCGATTGACCAGACCTGGGTCAATGAAACCTTTGACAAAAACATCCAGCAATGCATGATTGACGAAGAAAGCATTACTAGCCATTTCTCCGACCACCAAGCATTGATCACGACATTCCTAACACAACATAAATCAGACCGGATCATTACTAACTCAATACGAACAAGAAAAAACTGGAGAAAAGTTGAAAAGGTAGACTTGAAAACAGAAATTCAGAAGAACTTACCACCGATTGAACCTTTAACATCAGGTGAAATGATTGATAAGTTTGACAAACAACTAATAGATACTATTACAGAAGCCCTGAACAACAACTCACCCTGGAAACCACCCATAGGTAAGCACAAAAAGTGGTGGATTCCAGAGATCTTAGAACCACTACGAAAAGGAAGCCCTACGAACCGAACGAAGAATGAAAAAGACAAAACACGAAGACGACCGAATTGCTTACAGGATTGCACGCAACAAATTCAAAAATGAAATGAACAAGGCCAAAGAGAACAACTGGAAAATCTACATCTCTACGCTTACTCACGACAATCTCTTCCAAGCAAAGAAATTTGCGTCAGGAAGACAAACATCAGCAGTAATCAGCACCCTGATCACTTCGGATGGAGCCACATGTACGTCAAACGAAGAAAAAGCTGATGCACTTTTCAATGCTACTTGCGTTGCAACTGCTCCCTGCGATCTGCAGGACACTATCCCCCTCAGTTTCCCACTATCTGAAGAAACGAAGATAACTCCCTCAACCATGCCCAGTTTAAGCGAGTCATTGAACAAAGATATGCTTGAAGACATTGTCAACAACAGTCCACCCCTGAAAGCGCCAGGAAGAGATGGAATCCAAAACTGGATATGGCAAACCATATGGCCAGTGGTTAAAAGGCACGTCCTCGCTCTATTCCATTGCATTACTATTACAGGCATCTTCCCAGCACGCTGGAAAGAAGCAAAAACTATCATGATTCCCAAGCCAGGGAAATCCGACTACACCTCACCTTCATCCTTTAGACCGATTGCGCTCCTCAACACAATCAGTAAAATATACGAGAAGATGATCACAGTCCATCTATCGCAACAAGTGGAAAAGTTACAACTCCTGAACCGAGGCCACTACGGAGGCCGCCCGAATAGATCTAGCCAGGAGGCGCTAGTACACCTCGTCAGCTACATACGAAGTGAATGGATTAAGGGTAATATCGTAGGAGCCATGTTTGCTGACGTAAAGTCAGCCTTTCCGTCTGTCCACCACCCAAGGTTACTGGACACACTTGAGAAAAAAGGCCTACATTCCCAAACAATCAACATCATCAAAGATTTCTTGTCAGATCGATCAACAAGACTTGCCTTCAATGGATTTGAATCAGAGCCTTTTGGATTATCCCATGGGTTACCGCAAGGATCTCCCTTGTCCCCCCTCCTCTACCTGCTCTATAACTCATCTTTACTAGACATAGCTGAACAATTAGATTGGGCCGAAGCATTAGGTTTTGTAGATGATGTGATCCTCCTAGCATCCGCCCCCGACCAACACCAGCTTAAATCGAAAATGAACACTCTCACTTATCGACAATCAATGTGGGCTGAAAATCACGGGGCAATCTTTGACACAAAGAAAAGCCATTGGATAATTTTCGACACGAGGAAACAAAACACCAAGAACGCAGAACTGCCAACAATCAACTTCGGTACACGCAAGAACATTACACCACATACCAGTACGAAATGGCTAGGAGTAACCTTCGACAGCCAGCTCAGTTTCTCACAACACAAACAAGATGTGATTGCCAAAGGGAAACAGAGGTCAGGTTTCATAGCTTCCCTAACCAAATCGGAATGGGGAATACCTCCTCATTTAATGAGGACCTTACTAATATCCACAGTACACGCAACAACCAATTACGGTATAGCAGCATGGCTACCGCTGGACCCCCCAAAATACTTCATCAACCACCTATCAACAATCGACAATACTAGCGCGCGAGCTGCATTAGGAGCGCTTCAAACCACGCCACGCATCTTCCTACAACACGACATGAATTTACTACGACCAGAGACAAGATTGAAAACTAAGGTCATGAACTTTATAGCTAAGTCTCTTACGAAACCCAGTCATCATCCCCTGTTTCCAATTATCCAACAGGCACAAACATCAAAACCGAAGTATCACCGAAACATTTTCCAACAATTCTTCCAACACGAACTAAGGCAAGAATTCGACGAATTCACTACACAATTACCGGTAGACCCAACTGCAATCCTTGCTAGGCCAACAAATTTTTCGACAATCATCCAGGAAGTTGAGAAAGTAGCAATACTAGGCACAAAAAGACTAAAACACTCGGCTGAACATCTTATCATCTACACAGACGGTTCCCGAATCCCATCCAAAAACACCGCAGCGGCAGCGTGGTGTCAGAACACCAATAAATCCATTGCCCAACACCTAGGTAAAGCGAGACTCCACGGAATCTACAAAGCTGAATATAAAGGTGTCCAATTAGGCCTAACCATAGCGATGCGAACGGCAACTCAGCACTCCAGAAGAATAACCATCATCATGGACAACCAATCAGTTATCAAAGACTTAAGCAACTGCCCACCGACAATAGCATCATTACTCGATCGAAAAGAAACATTCAAAATCCTCAACTACATAGCGGCCTCATTCCCAAACGCCAGAGTCACGATTCGGTGGTGCCCAGGCCACCAAGGTGTAAAGGGTAATGAGACCGTAGACAAAGTAGCTAACAGCTTGGCAAAAAGAGACTTGCCAAGCACTTTCACGTCCAAACCAACCCTAGCGGGCTTCACGTCAGCGATCACGGAGTGGTCCAAAGCCAACAAAAACAACTTTACCGACAACGAAATTAAACGACTGGGCCATGAACCAACAAAGCAGAAACACCTCAAAGCTCTGAGCAATCTACGAAAACACGAGTGCACAACCATCACACAGCTTAGATCAAATCACATACAGCTGAACTCCTATCTCTTTAAACACCAGCAGCGATTCGACCCCCTCTGCGATTGTCAGGGAGGAGTCGAGACAATTGACCACTTCTTATTCATCTGCAACAGATACGAAAAACAACGTACGAAACTAACTGAAGCAATAATGGAACTTCAGATACCAGAATCTACAGATATCCTCAAGAACCCGAAGGCTTTTGGGTGTATCGCCAAATTTTCCAACTCAACCTGGCGATTCAAGAACCGCTGGGTTTGGGCCAACATTACCGACGAGGACACACCTCAAGACTCCCACATTCCATCCACCTAACCACTCATTTACTTGACTCAAACTATCCTTTAGCGCCACCATATGTATCAAACAAACACTTGTAATACTTGAAACAACCAGCACGTGACCTTTTCCCCACCGGGGTTTTTACTGGAGCGGAGCACAAGTAGTTTAGTGCCTGATAGCCTACGGCTCAGGAGGCACTTAAAACAATGCAATAAAAAAAAAAAAATATCATTCAGATGTGTTTTTCCGCATCTGGCATCCATGGGCGGGGAACTGAGTTGATAAAGCTTGGCGAAGTTTCCCCACAAGACTCAAGCACATGACTTCCGCGGGCAACGCAATCGAAGGAACTACCTTGGTTTCCACGCCGGGCGCACAACCCTCGTGTTATGCATAGTGTAGTGCCCAACACCTGAGTTGACCGCGCACCCTTGCGCACCCCTAAGCCAATGATCAACCAAATTTTAGGCGGTGCTGAGGTTGAGAGATGTTACTCGAGATGTTCTTTGATATCGATGGCCTGTTTCTCTATCAACAAATGAAGCCCAACCTCAATCCTTCCCCTAACTTCATACTCATCACTTCCTCTGACCGTCACCAGTCTCTAATCACATAGCGCATGAAATTTCGAGGCCAATCATTCCGGTAATCATTTGACGACCATCTTGTCACGATAACCGTCCGACTATCAACTGCTTCATACTGCCAGCATCTATTCGCCCGGCTTCTCCCGACTCTCAACGTGAAATGGGAAGACCGTTAGGAACCTTGATAGTTGTTGTCCTCAAAGCTGTACGTCGTCTTTTTGCACTTGCTTCGAAACCACTGATTCTTCCTGCTGATGGCCTTTTACCCTTTCGTATACCACAGCGTAATCTACCCAACAAGCAGCGAATAGGGTATGTGAATTAGTTCTAGTCTGTGTGGCACTCATGCCTCAATACCGACTGTCCACTACCTTTCTCCATCAGGAAACAAGATCCCTATGCAACTTGCACGTACCTTTCACATCGCAAACGCACTAAAACCGATAAAAGGGGAGGCCAGCACCCGGTATGGGATGATGAACTACGCTTCGAAGTTTACGAAAACCTCAAGGATGTCATGCCATCAACCTCTGTTGCTACGACCTCAACTGGCGGTGTCGCGCCTGTTAAATCTTCGGATCCATCCTTGGGAATGGGAGGAAATCCAGGGGTCAAAGAATTAAGGGTAGCTGTATACGCGGACGATCCACGCGACCCGGAACTGATAGGTGAAGGCAAGGTGGAACTTACCGAGACTCTAAAGAAGGGCGAATTCGACGACTGGGTGACCATCACCAACAAAGGCAAATATCAAGGGGAGATTTACCTTGAGATGACGTTTTACTCCGCTGTGAGCATATCTTTCACCAATTTCCTTGCTTGGGAATTCTTAATTTGCTAACTCAACGATCTTTTTCCAAATTCCAACCTCAGAAACCTCCACCTGAAAAGCAACAAAATGCTGGCACACCTGTCCGAGCAGGTGTCTTCGAAGCTGGCTCTCCTGCATCAGGCTTGAAACCGACCCAGACCCCTCAAAATAAATTGGGAACACCGAATGGGAACAGGGCTCGGTCGCCGGCTCCTCACACGCGTATCAAAGTTGATCCTTGGAGCGTTCCACCTTCCTTGCGAGCTGGCCTACCAGCTCGCAAGCCAGATGGTGCACTGGTCAGTACTTTACCTCTCCCAGGACAGCCAGGTCCGATCAATCCGTTGAGTCCGCGCCATAAGTCCTCGGAGGCACTTGGGTCACAACATACAGCTTTACCAGTTCCGCATAATTTTCGTGTACCTTCACGCAATCATTCTTGTGACGAAGCCGCGGAAATGATGAACGCTATGTCAATTTCCGATCAATCTTCCCATTATGATCCGCATCCTCAGCCATCAGGCTTGGCTCCTTCCGTCGAGGCAAACACCGGGCGACCACATCGTCATAGTTTTTCAACCTACTCGACATATGCACCTAATCATTCGCAGTATCCTGGCCATATACCCGGGCCAGGTGTTGAACAAGCAGCTCACAACGTTAACCCCACCCGTCTCCCGAGTCATGATCCCGTCAATCCCGACCCTTACATGACCCATCAAGCCCCTTTTTCTCACAGCTTGGCTCCCAACCCCAGTCGGCGCCCACTCCCCATACCCGTTGTAGACTCAGTCATCCGACCCACTTCTGCATGGGGAGATTACGGCAATCAAACACCTGCGAATAATTTACCTGCAGGTATGCCCCCTCAACATCCAGGGCTGGGGCACGCGTCCTCACATTACTCTCAATCGAACATCGAGTCTTTCCCTACACCATGTTAGTTCACTTTTTTACTATTTGCATGAAAGACAATCTAGCATTCGCGTTATTGACTTGAACGATCTTCTATGGCTTACCGAATTGTAGCATACCCTTCCAATGCAGACGCGCATGAATCCCCTGGTTCGAATTATCAGCCTTCAAGCGCTTCTTATCCATCACATCATTCTTATGCAGATCAACCCCCGAGGCCTCTTCATACATCAACACCATCTCACACTGTACATCCTACGTCGGGATATCCACTCAATCCACTTCGCTTCAGTCTACCGCCGCCACCGCCTGGTCAGACTCCTGTTTCAATCCATGAAGTTTATCAGCCTGCTATCCCAAGACCTCTTCCTCCACCAAGTCCTCTACCTTTCAGGCCGCATACTCCCAGTTATAACCAATCACCGCCCTATCCTCCTACTGATCATTCTCAACCCCCCGTGAGTAATGGGATGGGGTATGATCCTAACATGTATGAATCAGACAAGTTCCAATCCTATCAAGGGTACGGCGCTTTACCGGATCCACCACCACATCAACAGCCACAGCAGTATCCAAACGGAGGAGTCCTGCCGCCTCCACCACGTTTACCGCAACAGCAGCCTTTCTCGGGCTACCAATCTCAACCTGCAGCCCCACTCCCACCACCGCCACCCCATCAACATTATCACAATCATCAAGCATTACCGACACCATCCCAGACACCTGTTCCCTTTCCTCACCAAACCTCGCCGTATCATGATGTTCATAGTCCTTATCGTGCCATGACTCCAGCACCGCCGTTTCCTCATCACCCTTTGCCACCCCCACCTCCACAGCAACATCCCGCTGCGATCGGATATCCTCCTCAACACACGTACCCCATAACACAAGACTATTCGCAACAACACTACCATCAGACTTGATCAAAGCCAGATATCTCGCAATTTGATCCGCAGCTCAGGCTCACCGTGTTTGTGCCAGGTGATTATTACAAAATAAAAGTTAGATAGCGAGTTTCTGTTACGAACTGACTGCAGGCGATGGTACCTTTCAACGTTGCAACTTTGTTTCTTTTTCTTGATAGAATAGACTTCAACTCGGCAGCGAAATAACTAACCTCTAGAAAAGGAAAAGATTATAGATATAGTGTGTGTAAACGAGCCATCATCCCTTGACTCTTAAATGTCACAAACATTCACCAATCTCTTCAAACCTCTTCGTGTATGCATTGATTTCAGAATGATTTTTTTCTATATATGTATATCATTTTTTGCACTGCATTATCTCTGGTAAGCTTTGATCCGTTCACTACTTTTATTATCTACTATTGTAAGCACATAAATCTTTCATATTTTTTTTTCTCAAGTGAAAAACGTTTGGGTCGTACAAAGTTATGTGATCTCTCATGGGGTGAAAAACAAATTGATTGACAACTAGTGACAAAAGACCGATAATGTGCATCACTTAGTTTATTGAAGAAAGGCTTATTACAAGTCCATTTGTGCAATGCCTGATCAAGGTGTGAAATAAATTGCTCTTGGTGCAATTATATATACATTTTCTAACCTAACAAAGTCCCTCTCGGCGACTCCAAGATACTTATGGCCTGTCCACCAAATTTGGCGGATGGCAAGAAGCTTTTGGCTGGGGAGCATCTCAACCCGCCATAACTTCCTACCCTACAAATAAAACGCTTTTTGACCAAAGAAAGGTCCTGTGTGCCTGCTCAACCTACACATACTGGTTCTTTGAAATCTCTCTTGGTTCGAGGAAAGCACTACAGAAAGACTTGGAAAAATGCTTCACCATGTAACATTTCAGCCTGTCTGGTGTGAACTTCTGACAGGTTGGACAGCATTCCCAGAGATCTTGGTTTTTTTGCAAACCTAAGCCTTTCTTTCATTGCTCTGCAATCATTGAATTAAATACACATTTAGATACATGAATTTAGGCAGGTTGAGTGGATGTGTATGACCTTCCTTTGTTCCAAAGGTGTTTTATTTATAGGGTAACAAGTTATAGCGGATTGAGAACTCCCCAGCCAAAGGTTTCTTGCACATGCAGCAGACTTGGTGGATAAGCCATAAGTCCCTCTCTTGTAGGATTGCTCTCCAGGAGGGACTTTGTTAGGTCAGATACATTGTACCACAATTGATACCCAGAATTCCCAAAGCCTAATTTGTATGATAAAGTTATCAAGTCTCATCTCCACTGTTGATGTGCAAAAGAGATGTGTACATTTGTGGTACACAAATGTTGTTCTGGCAGTTTCCAGAACACTGTTTCCAGAATGCCAGAAGTTTTTTTTGATGTGTTCTGGTGTTCTGGTGTTCTGCAACTTTGAATGCCCCGGTTCATTTCAGGGGCTGCAGCGGAAAGTTCATTTTTTTCCAGAACGCCAGAACCCAGCCCAAAGGATTCTGGCGTTCTGGAAAAAACATTCTGAAATTTGCCAGAACAATATTTGTGTACCATAATTGACAGTTTGACAGGTTGTGGCCTATATCTCACGCTCACACCCGGTGCCCTGATGCCACGTGGCGCCACAACTTTGGGCAGGGCAGGGTGTTATGATCCAATGTACGCAGTGAACACTGATGAGGTTCCTATAGCTAACTAACTAGATTGCAGTATGGAGAGAAAAGCTACAAGCGTGGAAGGAACAAAGTACAACTCCCGCTCCGTGCACCTCACTACAAGCATACTCTGGTACTAGCATAACACGGATTATTACATTATCCCCCCTTTAACGCCCAAGTCCCTCTTGCTGCTCTGCGCTCTGTCCCTGGGTCAGCATTTAAAAACCACGTGGGAAAAAGCTTGACCCGCTCTCACTTTCTCCTATGCCTTTTGTGTTTACTTGCTGCGTCGGGAACCTCTTGTGAAAAGCCTTAATCA